GCATGCTTCACATACAGGCACTTGCCAACTCTCTCTCTCTCTCTCTCTCTCTCTCCCTCCCTCCCTCCCTCCCTCCCTCCCTCCCTCCCTCCCTCCCTCCCTCCCTCCCTCTCTCTCTCTCTCTCTCTCTCTCTCTCTCTCTCTCTCTCTCTCTCTCTCTCTCTCTCACACACACACACACACACACACACACACACACACACACACACACACACTCAGTCTCTCTCTCTCTCTCCACTAAAATAGAACTGCTTTCATTATATAATCATGTCACCTGGTGGAGTACATGCGCCGAACATCGCACGCTCCGTATCGCTTCAAACAGTTCTGTCACCTCTTGCAAACCCATATCCTCTCACCATTATCAACGGGTCGCGCCTCGTGCCTAATCGATGGGTGGTGATATCTTGCTAAGCGGGCTGGTGCATCAGCTGGTGCATGGCGCATTGTCGATGACATACAGCAACTCGAGCTTCGTCTCTCCTGCACTCGCCAGGCTCTGGAGCGGACATCTTCAGGTTGAGCGACTGGAACGACGACATTCGAGTCACGATCCAGGAAGCTGTTGTTGTCTGTCATCGGCTATATGCCAAACATGATCTAATGCACCAGTCTGCTTAGCAAGATATCGCTACCCATCGACTAGGCGTGGGGTGTGATCTGTTGGGGCGAGAGGAGATGGATTTGCAAGATATGGCAGGGCTGTTTGCAGCGCTGTGGGGCGTGCAATGTTCGGTGCATGTTGACTGCCACCAGATAGAGAACTGCATGTGCTATAATGTATAGATCCCATTTTCAGTCTTTGACCACTTTGCTGATGGGCGGATCTACTCACCTCCCACCGCATCTGCGCCTTAGATCTTCGCAGGGTGGTGGGGTTCCTATGGATGTTGAAAACTGAGTCTAACTCAGTCTCAAGCGAACCGTGAACTTAAAAAAATGTATTGATTATTTCTGTGTTGTTAATCCTGAAGCTTACCTTGTAAAAAAGGAGGACAAAATGTTACGAGTTATGACTAACTGTCCACTCTCCTTTTTTCACCATAATTTAATTGGCTCACCATCCGAGTTAAACTTACCCTGTAAAGGTCACAGTTTTGATAGATTGGAACTCTTTATGACATAATAATAATTATTATGCTTTTCACTGATGTAGCATTGTTGCTTTGTTGGGTCAGGTGTGAATCAGAAGGCAGGGCCGTGTTCCACGATATGCCCAACTTGGCCGAGTCCAAGAATCAGGATCGCCTCAAGCACTTGCAGGCTCGCTTCAAGAAGAAGTGGCGCAAGTTCAAGTCCGATGTCAAGGGAAAGGTAACTACTGCTGCTGAGCCGTTAAAAAAAAAAGGTTTCAAAGTCTGTTTCCCTCACCGTGAATTTTCTTCTTTTGCGAAAGGTTCCTCTTTCTTAAGTTTTTTTCCCCATAGCGCTGATGTAATTTGACCTCTGGGTCAACTGCAATGATCTTTGGCCTATTTTATAATGTGCTGCAGATCTTGCCTTATGTAACGATTCATGCCCTTCTGTTACGGCCCATTCTTTTTATTTCTTAGTTGCCTAGTTACGACTTTGATGCATTTTCCACAGGTGTCAGGTTGAACAGTGCCGTATACTATAGTAAGCGACAATTGGTAGCTCAAAAGTCTTGTAGCTCCTGAGAGCGTGCAACTCCTGATGGATTGCTGTCACGACTCGTTTCCAGAATTGCTTCGTTTTATGATGTAACAAGCTCAGTAACTATACACATACAAGACGTGAGGTGTGTGTGTCTGTGTATGTATGTGCACGTGCCGACAGGTTCGCTTCACTGAGCACCAGTTCGTCAGGCCCACGCAGTGTACGCGGCCCGAGTTCTGCAGCAACATGAAGATGTGCGCCAACGTCACTTGCCATGTCGGAACAGACTGTTGCGCAATGCTTCGGCAGAGCAAAGGTGCTCTAAAGGTGGGTGGTGTGCACTGTGCTGTACAGGCAGCTGGGAGCATGTCAAAGCTGTATGGGACAGCAGAACTAGAAAGGCTGACCAAGTCGGGTTGCTCGTGTTATTTATTTTATTTTGTTTTATTTTAAGGCTTTATTTGAAGGATTCTCCAAAAGCAAATTGATACTTGTTTGGAGAGATTCCAAGATTTGTTCATGGTGCAATACTGTTTTCTGCTTGTTACATCAGATGGGAACCTGGAAGAAAGAGTGTCTTGTGTATTTGGCACGCACACGCATGCACACACTCACACGCATGCACACACGCACACGCATGCACACACGCACACGCATGCACACACGCACACGCATGCACACACACAACTATGCAGGGTACTGTAAAGTAAGAAACTTTCGCTAGAGATTAGATTGCACTATTTTTGCGACTACCGTAATGTCGCGTATTAAAGCCGGGCTTATTCCTGGAGAAGCCGATGTAAGGGCTAGGCTTCTATTCACATCACGCTTCTATTCAAACCAGGACTGAGGTATTTCTATGTGGGTCAACACTAAAACCAGGTATTTCTATGTGGGTCAACACTAAAACCAGGCTTATGTGCCGACTGTGTATCTTGAAAATCAGGCTTGTATTAAAGACAGGCTTCTGTTCGAGATAGGCTTTAATACAAGACACTACGGTATCACACATTTGCGAATATAAATCACTGCAAACTGCATTGTACATTGCTTCTAGACAGTACACGATCCAACTGAAGAGATCACATCGCGAAAGTTTCTCATTGTGAACCAGTGCAATTCTTGAAAACGCAGAAGTTGCGCGCCGCGAAAGTTTATCGCTTTGCAGTATTGGCTGGGGGCAAGCCGTTATTTTGAATGTCATACCGGTATTAGGATCTGACTGGCTGCGGTGGTTTGCATGAATATGTCATGGTATTGGCTACTTCTCCATGACCTTGCCTTGTGCTGACGTCTGGGTTCATGCTTTTGTGTGTTTGTTTTGTGTGTACATGTATGTGCTTGCCCGTGCGGGCATGTGTGCGTGTGCTCTCTCTCTCTCTCTCTCTCTCTCTCTCTCTCTCTCTCTCTCTCTCTCTCTCTCTCTCTCTCTCTCTCTCTCTCTCTCTCTCTCTCTCTCTCTCTCTCTCCCTCTCCCTCTCACTTGCAGGTGTACGACAAGCGCGCCAAGGTGTACATGGGCGTTGTGGACAAGAAGCGGTTCAGCAGAATGGACGTATAGCTCTGACGGCGTGTCGCCTAGCTGTCCACTATGCACGGCATACTACACACCTCTTCCCTATCCAGCATATCATACCGACTCACGACAACGCTCTTCTAGGTTAGTGGCACCTAGATGGCAATCAACAAGACTTGAGAGTAGCTTCAGTTTTATTTCACACGTACAATTTCATTTTTTTAGACCGCTGACGCAATGCCGCGAGGCAAGCTAAAAAACCCTGCTGACATGTATTGGCTACCTACCTCCATCTCTGCACTCTGCTTGTGGGTGCTTACTGGGATGTGGCCATACGTGTATATGATGCTGTTGAGATGTTTTATTATTAGTTTTCTTCCAGTAGAAATCCTGCGCCAAGCACGATTTCTAGCTGTCAGCCGTATTTTGCTTTAACAACGATTTCCAGGCCCGTTTTGAATGGCGCGGTCGTGCCACCCTCTATGTGTGTATCTTGCTCCTTGGCTCTGATACACCGGGGTACACCGGTCATAGCTGGTCTCTGGACGGGGAACTACAGCAGCCACCCGCCACTGCAATCAGACATGATATGAACAGTTTCTCATCATGTCTGCATACACACAGAAACGGGTGTAGTAGTGCGAGCACAACGGATCTCGGCATGTCTGCATACACACAGAAACGGGTGTAGTAGACTGTAGTGCAAGCACAACGGATCTCATCATGTCTGCATACACACAGACACGTTGATAACTTGATGTTTGCTCATCTCCGTTACAGTGTTTTGAGTGTTACAGCTGCTGACGTCGGCCATCTTGCAATGCAGTGCACGGCTAGTGTCCGCTGTGAGCATCAGCCATTCAGGCCCACCGGAACCCCCGGTGCGGGTGCCGTCAAGTCATCACCGAGCCTACTTGTTGCCCACCAACGCATGTATACTAGTACAGTCAGACCTCGTTTATCCGGATCCCTCGCCATCCGGAAGAAAACCGTTGGTTACCAATTTACAGCATATGCCATGCTTACATACAGTATGTGTGTTCTATTATCCGGTTCCCTCGCCTATCCGGATATTTTTTGTTGAAAACGGATGTGTGCGGTTAAGTGAGGTCTGACTGTACTGCAGAGGAGGAGGTTATGTGTACCACCCTACTACCCGCTATCATACACAAACTGTATGGCCGGACCAATCTAAAACAGCTTCCGGCGGTCTTGTACACACACACACGGTACATGACTGTTCGGCCTCAGGTTCGGCCTCATTTTCTCTGTGGCGCGCCGAGGAGTCCACAAAGGACGAAACAGTTCTGTCCGCAGATTGAGTACATGGTTGTATAGTTCACTCTGCTCTTTTGCCTTCTGTGGCAGGCCGGCGTAGAGCTCACTACAGCATGCTCAATGCTCAATGGTAGCTGCCGACCGTTGTCGAGCAACTGCGTGACACTGACATGACCGATCATGGTGAAATTGCGACAGCAGGGAATCGTTTTCTAATCAGCAACGTCACCAAGTGCGATCAACAGCGGGGAGCTTTGCGCTGATGACTTCACGGCAGCGTTGTACCTGCTGTTGAAATCATTAGTCACCCTGCAGTTTGCCCTTGATGCTCGCAGCTATTCCCCTGCCCAGTCCCGTGGCCACAGCTTCATGGAGAACCTTGCCACTGACATCAGTCATCTTTTCGAGCCACAGGTCCATCATGGCGTCAAACAAGTCAAAATTCTTCTTTTCTTGGCCTGCGTTGTTGTTGATCGCCTGTAGCAGCCGAGCCAGACAGATGACAGACAGACAGATGACAGACCGATCGATAGATAGATAATAGATAGACTTGGTTTTGTAGTTCCTTGGTACTTTTCTTTCCTATAGATAATAGATAGATGGATTTTTTCATAGCTATCAGGTTCAGCCTCATTTTCTCTCCGCTGCACTGACGAGTCCACAAAGGACGAAGCAGTTCTGTTCGCAGATTTAGTACTTCGAAGTAGATAGAAAGATTATACTTGTAGATAAAGGCAGAAAATGAGAGAGAGAGAGACAAGTATTTCTCTATGTCATAGAGAACGAAAGAATGAAGGAAAGAAAGAAAGAGAGAAGGAGAGAGGGGGGGGGGGGAGAGAGAGAGAGAGAGACCGAGGCGAAAGGGAGAATGCATGTAGGAAAGGCACCATGGGGATTGATTGTTGACTGACTGCCTACAAAGCTGTAGAAATAGGGAGATAAATACATAACATGGACCATTGGTATTATCACCAGTCCAGGCCATTGCTAGGGATATCCAGGACTGGGGAACAAGTTTCCACTCACATGGCGTTTATGCTACGCTTGCAAGCTATTATAATGCATTCGCCAAATCTGGGCCCAATAGGCTTTTCACAGTGCATTTTTCAGACAGATATTTGACAGATCGCATGCAATATGCTTTGACAACACATGGTTCCGCTGCTGTTCCTCAGCTAGCGCTAGAGATCGCCCGCACACGTGCTACGCCGTGTGAATACAGCCTCTCCAAGCTGCTCGATCCTGGGCCATCATGGAGAGTTCGTCAAGATGGTGCACGTACAACTCTCAGGACGATGTAGTTTTAGTGTATCAGGGGCCCGGACTTTGCGAATGCACTATAGCCTTATGTCTGTTGTTTAGCCGTCAGGCATGCACATCAACATTGCACACAGTCATGCTGCCAGAGTACAGAGAGTACAGTCATGCTGCCCGAGTGTAGAGAGTACACGTACATGCTCATGATGCACTTGTTGACTGGTAAAGAGACGGGAAGGAAGTCAGGAGATCATATGCACTACGACAGCACGAGGCACATGCGAAGGCAGAAGAGTATCACCGTACTCCCCCGAATATAAAACACACCTTTTTTTTTTACACTAAACCTGCAAGGGCAAGGACGGGGGTGCGACTTACAATCGAGTGTGACATCCTACTTCTATGCATGTATAGAAACAATACCGGTATGGCTCAGGCCTCAAAGTGTGGTTGCGACTTATAATCGAGTGCGCCTTATAATCGGGGAAATACGATATGCCATGGTGTCACCATGTGAATGTGCAGAAAATCATTATGATGTCATCCTGTGAATGGAGAAAACATTTTATGATGTCATCACACACTCAAGTCTGTGGACAGCAACTGTTTCGCTCTGTTAGAGCTCATCAGCACAGCTCAGAGGACCGAAGTGCAGCTCTTCGCAATGAAATACGTTTCCGTGAAGCAAAGCATTTTTATAAAGAGCTGCAAACCCCGCCAAGAGTGCTCGAAATGATCCAAGAGCAGTGAGCGTTGCACAAGGCGAGCGGCAAGGGTTCGCGCTAAGGTAAGAGTGCTCAACCTAACGATATTGCTGACGCTTGGGAGCATAATGATGTCATCACACATAACATTACAGCACATACAGTCAACTTTGCGAATAACGACACTCGGCGGGGCATCAGAAAAAATAAGCCTTTTGGAGCCCTTTACAGGGACATGTACATGTATGTGTGATGATTGCTGTACAATCATGCATAACTACATGTATTTGTGCTGATCGCTCCAACTATTTTGAAGCAAAATAAAAAAAGAAAGAAAAAGCACCCCCCCCCCCTTGCCTGCATCTTCTTGCATGTGTGCCATTATCCATCACCATGGGTTCTGGTACTTCTGCATGACAGGCACTTGAAATAGCTGTCAAAAGCCCAGAAAGTCGTTACTCAAGCAGTGATTTTGACCTCGTGCTCTGGGCATGGACATTCTGTCGTTATTCGCAAATTGTTATATCCGCAGTCGTTATTAACGAAGTTGACTGTAGTTGTCACTAGATCACTTACCGCTTCCGGGTCCGGTACGTCTGTGCAACCGTCCAGTAGATAGATAGCAAGAGTGTACACCATCTTGGGACTTTTAGCCAGGTAATAGTGAAGATAGTTATAGAGGCTTGTCCTCTCTTTGGCCGACAGAGTTCTGAAGTTCACCCACTGTTCTGGATCAACGTCAGTGTACAGGCCTGCCATCATAACTACACACACGCACACATACACACACACACACATGCACACACACGCGCGCACACGCACACACACACACACATGCACGCACACGCGCACACACACACACACACACACACGCGCGCACACACATGCACATACACACACACACACACACACACACACACACGCGCGCGCACACACATGCACATACACACACACACACACACACGCGCGCACACACATGCACATACACACACACACACACACACACACACACACACGCGCGCACACACACACACACACACACACACACACACACACACACACACACACACACACACACACACACACGCGCGCACACACATGCACATACACACGGGCACGCATGTACACATTGTACATAGTGATGTAGCGATAGTCCGAGTTAAATACTCGTTCTGCAGACAGTACCGCTCCTTCATTTTCATTTTCTGACTGGAGACACGTTTCTTGTACGGATCCAACCCTGAGACCTAGTGCTTGCGTCAATAAAGTGTTGCAAATATACGATGACAAATCCTCACGGAGCAACGTGGTCACTCAGTGTTGTTAAGGTTAGATGGCATGCTGGCTAACTTAGGGTGCGTTCTTATATTCTCTAGCTTCTCGGTGAAGAAGAAAACAGAAGTCGAAGAAACTGGTACTGTATAATCAAAGAACGGGTCAAAGAAGAATTCGGAGATTTTTGCACATGTCAAGCGTCAAAGGATCTTGAGTGCCACGAATGTACTATAAATGAATAAAACAGATTACCCCTCCACACACTTGTCCAGCCCTCACCGGTCGGAAACCAAACGCACCTCTCCATTAACCCAATGATCTATGCCCATTACCCACACACATCATGTGTTTTCACCCTTACCTAGTTGTTGCGGGATAGGAGCACTCTGTTGCCATGGTGTTGTTCTCTGTTCTTGTGCTAGCGCGCCCAGTTGCTGTGGTAACATGTACACACCGTGTTGCTGTGGCAACGCACACATGCCCATGTGTTGTCGTGACGCATCCACAACTGGTTGCTGTGGCAACGCACACATGCCCATGTGTTGTCGTGACGCATCCACAATCGGTTGCTGTGGCAACGCACACATGCCCATGTGTTGTCGTGACGCATCCACAACTGGTTGCTGTGGCAACGCACACACGCCCATGTGTTGTCGTGACGCATCCACAACTGGTTGCTGTGGCAACGCAACCATGCCCATGTGTTGTCGTGACGCATCCACAATCGGCTGCTGTGGCAATGCACACATACCCATGTGCTGCCGTGACACACCCACAACCTGTTGCTGCGGCAATGTGAATGCACCCTCTTGCGGCACTGGTGTATGCGTGTCCATTTGCCGTGGTGTGGAATACTGCTGCTGAGGTACAGTGCCCTGGTGCTGAGGTGAAGTGCCCTGCTGTTGCTGCTGTACCGGATCCATACTTGGTAGATGCTTTGGATCACTGAACTGTTGTAGAGGGGACGTGTCTGGTACCGGTGAGGGACCACTGAGCTGTTGTACAGAGGATGTGTCTGGTAGCGGTGATGGACCGCTGTGATGTTGTACAGAGGATGTGTTTGGTACTGGTGATGGACCAACGTGATTTTGTACAGGAGACATGCCTGGTAGCGGTGATGGACCACTGGGCTGTTGTACACGGGGCGTGTCTGGTACCGGTGAGGGACCACTGAGCTGTTGTACAGGGGACATGTCTGGTAGCGGTGATGGACCACTGGGCTGTTGTACAGGGGACATGTCTGGTAGCGGTGATGGACCACTGGGCTGTTGTACAGGGGACATGTCTGATAGCGGTGATGGACCACTGGGCTGTTGTACAGGGGACATGTCTGGTACCGGTGATGGACCAAAGTCATGTTGAACTTGAGACATGTCTTGTGGCGGTGATGGACCACTGGGAGGCTGACACGTTGAAACGCTCGTGTTTCGCGCTGGAAAGATGTGGCATGATTGCCGGAGAAGACACATAGAGGGTACAGAACTAGTAGAACTTGTTTTCCCTACGGTGGACACCTCTTTGCAAAAGCCATGTCCATGTCAAGTACGCATTACACATTCTGTATATCACAGTGGCAGCAACTGAACGTGCACTCCCTAAAACTTTCGACCCAGGTTCAGCATGCACATAATGACCATGAATGACATGCACCAGCCATCCTACACATATGCGGCTGTGTACCACCCCCCCCCCTCAAAGGGGGACCAGATACGCCCCTGGTCATGCACGGTTCATGTCGGTATGCCTCTTCTGCCGCATTTCTTCATTATGGCATAGTGTTAACAACGGTCTTTGTAAAAGGAACTTAGAAGTTGCGACTTCGGCGGTAATAGTCATGAAGTCATGGTGATGGTTTGGCCTGGAGAGCACTATATAAGTGGTGCTTTTCAGGCACAATCTTCCTCAGCCTACTCAAGCTCAACTGATGAGGGGTGAATTCCCCGAAACACTGTGTATTGAGCAGGGAGTGGTGCTTTCTTGCAGGTTTGCCGAGTGGAAGGTGCGACGTTCTCCTCGTGTGCTCCGGATGGCAGTCGTGAGTCAGTCAAATGTCAAGTTCGGCAAGAAGCGTGTGTTCCTAGTTGGAACAACCAACTTCGGTCTTTGTAAAAGTTAAAACAATAATATCACAGCAAAGGACACACACACACACGTACACACACACACACACACACATACACACACACACACACACACACACACACACACACACACACACACACAGGTAGACTCTGTTCTTGCCCATACAATGCAGTGCGCGATGCAAGCAAAAGTGCAGAGCTGTTCACACGCTGGGAACAGCACTGAAGCAGGCGAACATGTTCGGACTCTATGTTCTACGCTATAAGGCCAGGCGTGCATACCGGGTTCCACGGGCAGCCACCAGCGGTGTAGGTGGTGTAGAATGGCAGGTTCATGTCATTCATGGTCATTACGAGTATGCTGAACCTACATGTATGTCGACAGTTTTATGGAGTGCACGTGCCCCCCCCCCCCCATGCCCCATGCAGGCCACGCACCTGTCGACAATAGACAAGTTCCGCGGTCTGTAATTCAGTACTTCCATTGTCAGGCAATGAACTGAAAGATTTGGGTAGCTCGGCATGGTATGCATACGCCTTTTCCTCAAAAGAAACGCAACAAATTGCCGAGATGAACTTTGAATCACTACATCTTCAAATCACGATATTTTGTACTTTGGAAGCTCCTGCAAGGATGCTGCATTGTAGTATGTAGTAACCAAGTTTTTTGCAAACTTCACTGCTAAAAACGGTGTAGGGGTCCAGGGCGTTGTTAGTTTGATATGACTCAGTGTCAAATACAATGTACAACATGGGGCAGAATCGGGTGGTCTTATGCAGCACTGCGGCGAGTGTGTGTGTGTGGTGGTGGTGGTGCGCATGCATGGTGGTGGTGGTGGTGGTGGTGGTGGTGGTGGTGGTGGCGGTGGTGTGTGTGTGTGTGTGTGTGTGAGTGTGTGTGTGTGTGTGTGTGTGTGTGTGTGTGTGTGTGTGTGTGTAAGTGTGTGTGTGTGTGTGGGGGGGGGGGGGCATTGTATTCATTTAATGCCTACCTGCTTTTTCCAGCATATCATCTGCCTGATTGGACAACATGGTTGATTGTTGCAGAGGAGTGATTCGCTGCTGCTGCCGTTGCTGCTGTTGTTTTTGCTGCTTCTGCTGCCGCTGCTGCCGCTGTTCCTGCTGCCGTTGCTGCCGCTGCTGCTGCCGCTGTTGTTGTTGCTGCTGCCGCAGTTGCTGTGGTGCACCGGTGCGGGGAGTGCTTGCCTGCGTCGGGTACATCGCAGCGTTGTTGATGGGGCAGTGTGCCTCATCGCTTGCTGGAACTGTAACACCATCCAACGATATAGCTGTCGTCACGTCACTCACCGGTTGGCTACCAACAGCAGTGCTCGTCGTGGTCTTCGCAGTGAGAAATTCAACTGTGACCGCACTTCCTATGGCACACAGCAATGTGCAGAAAGGAAGGAATGTAGGCAGAGCTTGAGCAGATCGGCTAATTTCCCTGTGAGAATGTTGAGAGAATCATATATTATTATGTGAGTTTCACATTTTAACCCGTCTGCATTACATGCAGTTATGTATCTTTGATAACGATGTCTCTTTACTCCCAAAACTTTCGAAGTTGAGGGCAACCAATTTTTCGGCCTCAGAAACCGTGAGCATTACGTAAATACGTTTGTTACTAATGCTGACACCAACAGTAGATAAACAAGAGTGTGTGCAACTCACCTGGGTTGGCCCATGGCGGAAGTTTTGTTGACGTAATCTTTCCTACGACGCACACGCTGCGAGTCTTTTGGAAAGTTTTGCCCCGTGCACTTGGCTGGACTTTACATCACAAGGTCGGCGCATAGCACGTGCTCTCACACTGCTCTGCGTCAAAATGCAATTGCTCTGAAAATAGGTGACGTCAACAAAAATTTCCGCCGTGGGCCGGGGTATCTGCAGATTGTGCAGAAGAGATACGGAGCTCCACACTCTTGTTTATCTACTCTTGCTGACACTGATATGGACAATTTGACGGTGGCAGTTCAGGAGTTGAGTGGATGATTTGATGGAATACTTCCATGGATTGATTGATGGCTCTGTGGGGCTTTCTCAGCACACAATGTACATATACATTGTACATTGGGATGTTGGCCAGTATCCTTGGCAGTACTGAGATACAGAGCACATTACAGTATTCACAAAGGCATGACTCTACACAGTGTCTGCTCCAGAGCCGGGTCAGCCGGGTCGGCAACCCGTTCGGGGTTACTTGGGCCCGTTTGGAAAAAGAACATGGGGTCACCCGTGACCCGGTTGTGACTTACGACTCCCTGATCATATTTCATGGGCTGATGCACATGCAGTAGCTGCACTCGAACACACCTGGCTCTGACCCGGTGGCAATGGTTGTGCCAGGTACACGTGCACCCGGGTGGTTTGAAATCCTAGAGCAGGCACTGCTACATGTACATGGGTCACATGACCATGGATGCTGTTCCACAATGTCGTGAAGGCTGAGGCCAGTCAGGATGTAGGATATGGCACATGCTAAGTCTCCAGTGCCCACACGTGATCCAGACAAGGGGACAAGACCAGGTCACTTTTAAGTAGGTATGCATGTGACGTACGATCGACTCCACTTATAGCAAACTCATAGATAGCAAATTATTATTAAAGGGGAAGTTAAGGCAAAAATTAAAATTTCACCAGTTGTAGTCTTCAGGGTCCTGAGTCGAATGGTCGTGGTCCGAGGAAGCTGAGACGCTCCCTTCCTACTTGAATCCCAATCGAACTCGCGCACTTCCACCGAAACTGGGTGACTGCGCCCTACTACATGGGGATTTGTATGCAAAATGTCACTAAAAGCGCCATTTCGTTCTTATAAAAGCACGGATGACCGCGATTGGCCCATATGTTGTAGTCTTTTGGACGCTGAGTCGATTGGTTTTGGTCCGAAAAGGCTGCGATGCAGCGTTCCTCCTTTATTCCTAATCAAACATGGGTGAACAAGCGGTCACGTGCTCCTGGGTGCCCAAATCACCTGGTCACCACGCCAGCAGGCGACAACTTTCACACCAAGGTTCAACTCGAGTGACAGGACTGCACCCAAAAAAGGTCAAACAGGCTAGTAAGTTGTACCCTGCAGGCACGGTAACCAGGTGACTGGTGTTATGTTCTCATGCACACCACTACTACTAGACAACAGGAACTAGTTTGGTGACAAGATAATAGAAACTAATTATTTACATTCTCAAGTGAGGAAGAAGAGCAAGGAGAAGAACACATGAATCCAGAATATGGATGCGTGCATGCGTCCAATAGAGACATGACGTAATCACGTGAAGCAAGGCGTATAACGTAACAATACGCGTTATGCGGGTGATAACAACTTGAAGTACATGCGCAATACATGAGTAGTTAGCATGATACATCACGTCCCTTCTGAGATAGAAATATAACAATTACATTTACATACATGTATCTCACGCCCCTTCTGAGATGACAACAAGGCATCTAATACCAACTAGAAAGGACGGCAAAGCAGATAGAGATAACTGAATACGAAAATAGCTGAGCTCAACAAGAGGCAGAAAGACGCACAGGCAGCTAATCATAAGTTTGGCCACGAGTGTTCGAAATATTCAGCCTAGACGGGGGTTGGCGGTTTCGCTGACTGCGCCGGACTGGCGGGGCAGGCTGAGTGATGGGGGTAGCAGGCATCGGCTGTGCAGGTGCTACGGGCAAGACAACAGGACGAAGAAAGCGACGGTTTCGCCAGTATATTCGGCCACTGGGAAGCTTGACCATGTAGTCGCGGTGGCTCCCAATGGCGACAATGGTACCGCGGGCGTTCCACAACTTGCTGCGGGGATCTTGTAGATCCACAGGGCAACCAAGGTGGAGGGCAGGCAGAGAACGGGCAGACTGGTTGTAGTGCTGACTGGCTGCTTCAGACTGGGCAGAGGCACGACTGTCGATTTCGTCAGCGGTTTCTTGCCACGCTGGGGCAAAACTGGTCCGGTGGGCAAGCACGAATGACGACAGGGGGCGGCCAAACAGGGCCTGCGCTGGGCTCTGACCGGAGCTACGGGGAGTGTTACGCCATTCCAATAAGCCACGACGGAAGGCGTCGACATTAATGTCTCCGTTGGTGGTGGTCTTGTACACGAGAGATTTGATGGCCTTGACAGCCGCCTCCGCATGGCCATTCGATTGTGGGTAATGCGGACTGGATCTGACGTGGCGGACTTGCCAACGCTGACAGAAGGCGGAGAAACGCTGCGCTGTAAACTGCGGACCACCATCAGTCGTCAGGACAGCTGGGACACCGAGATCCGCGAACCAGCCTCGGAACGCACGGACTACGTCAGCGGAGGTGGCGGTGCGTCCTATCTTGGCAACACAGGGCCAGCCGGTCTTGCGGTCCACGTATACCAGGAACTGGTAGCCTTGGCATTCGAACAGATCCGCGCTGGTGCTCTCAAACGGGAGGGCAGGACAACGATCCTCAGTTGCCAGCAGCGGTTCCTTCACTTGGGAAGGTGCGTGGTGACGGCATTCAGCGCAGCTGCGAACGATATTGTCAATGTCGTTGGACAGCTGGGGCCAATACACCACCTGGCGAGCACGAGCCTTGGTACGGTTGAGACCTTGATGAGCAGCATGCAAGTCGTCAAGCACACTACGCCTGAGGGAACGCGGGACCACAATGCGAGGACCTTTCAGTACCAGGTCCTGGTCGACTGTAAGATGATGACGGACTGTCCAATACGGCTGGGCAGCAGGACATAAGTCGCGTTTGTCGTCGGGAAATCCGTTCCGGACGGTGGTGAGGAGTGCCTGATAATCCGAGTCAGCTCGAGCGGCTTCTTGCAATTCGGCAAACCGGAGATTGGCAATCTGGCCTTCGGTGTCTTTCCGAATGCAAGCGCGTATGGCAGGAGTACGAAGGGCTGGGTGTTCACCGAGCTCATCGTCAGGGGTAGGATCATCCACTGGATTGCGGGACAGCGCGTCGGCGAAAGCGTTGTCAGTACCCTTACGCCAAGTGGCATGCAGCTGGTATGGACGAAGCTTCATGACCAGGCGTTGGAGCCGGGGATTCTCAATCTGATCGAGCGAGTACGAGTTGATGATTGGTGTGAGGGGCCGGTGGTCGGTGACAAGCTCAAACAATGTACCGGCGAGGTAGAGAGAACATTTCTTCACCGCCCAGACGACAGCTAGGAGCTCCAGTTCGATGACAGCATACCGGGATTCTGGATCCGACAGAAATCGACTGCCACACTGGAGAATGCGCCACTTGCCATCTTGCAACTGCCACAGAACGTAGCCAAGGCCATGCAAAGCAGATGCATCGGTCTCTAGGCGGAGTGGCTGGTCACGTTGGAAGAATGACAGCGTTGATGGTGACAACAGCTCAGCCTTGGCAGCGTTGACTGCGTCTGTGTGAACTGAGTCCCATACAAACTCGTTGGACGTCTTGAGCAATGGGCGCAACGGGGCGGCGTGCTCAGACAGGTGCGGGGTGAACTCACCACACTGGTTGATAAGACCCATAAACGATCGGAGATCAGTGCGGTTGCTGGGAGCTGGAAACTGGCTGATAGCTTTGACCTTGGCATCATCGACGGTCCAGCCGTCAGCACTGATGCGGTAACCACAGAACTCCACGGCTGGCATGCCGAACACAAACTTCTTGGCGCTCAGAGTAATGCCATTCTCCCGGGCGCAGAGCAGGACATCCCGGACGTGAGATCGGTGGGTGTTCAGGTCATTATCGTAGACGAGGCAGTCATCAACGACCTTCTGGAACTGGGAGATATGAGCGAACGCGGCGTCGGTGCGGCGATTAAACTCGTCTCCGGCAGAGACCAATCCTTGTGGGTTGCGTAGGTACCTGTACCGACCCCAAGGTGTCATGAACGTGGTCAACGGACGGGAGGCCTCGCTCAGAGGAACTTGCCAATAGCCGTGGCGGGCGTCTAGCTTGGTGAAATATCTTGCGTTGCCAACGCTGGATACAGCGTCACGAGGGCTTGGTGCGGGGTGAGCAGGGCGTTCGACTTGGTCGTTGAGCTTTTTGAAATCAACGGTGAGCCTCTTCTCGTTTGTCCCCTTCTTGTCCACGATGACAATTGGGTGACACCACGCACTGGGTTCGGTGACCTCCTCGATGATGGCATCCCGGACCATGTCATCCAGCTGGGACTTCACTTGGTCACGGTACGCATGCGGGATCTGGCAGGCATGATATGCAGCGACAGGCTTAGCATCAGCTCGCACTCTAATTTCCATAGGTCCACCAAGCATTGGCTTCAACACAGAGTCATCAAAGACGTCAGCGAATTCAGCTAGGAGTTCGGCTCTCATCGTCTCTGAGTCGGTGGCTTTGGACACAACCTTGTCCGCAGGTGCATCGGGAACGACCGATGGGACTACCTGTTGGACTGCTGCGATTTGCTTCGGCCAGCCGGACGGCAAGTATCCTAGGGCGTGCAAGGATGAACGGGATAGGAGGGCATCAGTCAAACCATCATAGACATGAATGGTGGACGTGTGCTGGTTTGGTCCACAACTGAGAGTCGCCGAAATCTTGCCAACAGGGGTGAGACTGGCGCCATCTGCGGTACGAACATCGTCGATGTCGTCAAGCAGGTTCTCGACAAATCCGCCTAACTGGTCAAGGTGTTGAGTGCCGATGGCATCAACGTCGCTACCAGTATCCGGGAGCCAACTAAGAGCTACGGGCTCTGGCTCGGTCACAAGCTGGGTGGCAACGGAAACTGTTGCGTCGTCCAACAGAGATGCTCGGTTGAGTCGCAAGTGTGCGATCTTGGACGACTTGTCCGGCTTCTTGGCAGGCCTGCGGCACATTGCCCGGAAGTGACCCGTTCCATTACAGTTAAGGCACACTTTGTTGATCGCGGGACACGGCGATTTCGTGTGCGCTGTGCGTCCGCAGTTGCGGCACTTATCACGAGCAGAAGTGTGCTTCGCCTCAACTGGGGGCTGTGAAGCTAACTTCGCGCGCTGATAAGACGACTTCCTGGCAGCATTGACTTGGCCGGCGGTAGGGATGTGGTGGCTGGTCTGTGTGGCTGCCTCTTCTGCACGACACACCTTGACTGTCGCCTCCAATGTCAGGTCGGAGGTGGACAACAGTTTGTGACGGGTGGTGTCGTCCAGGATACCGATCACAATGCGGTCTCGCATCATGTCCGCGTGGACCCGTGCAAGATTAGTTTTGCACGTAGAACAGGCACGTGCCGAACAGGCAGAACAGAGCTCGTGTTCCACAAAATCACACGTGTTAAACAATTCCTTCAGGGAAGTGTGGAACCCGTCAAACAATTCCCCTTTCTGTTGCGTGCGCTTATAAAATTCAATTCGGTCAAGTATCGGGTTTCTTTGTCGGCGAAGAAACTGCTTGACCGCCTCCAAGACGTCGCACGCATCAGGATTGGTCGCGATGACAATGGTGCCCTCCCTGATGAAACGTCTGAGGTCTTCGTCAAGGCACTGACGGATGGCAGATACCCTGGTTTCCCTTGACTGTGCTGTCAGGTGCTGGCACCGAGAAAAGTCTTCCCACAGTTCCTGCCAGGCAGCAAACTCTGACAGGGACGCGGAGGACAGCAGCATGGGTCGCTCCGCCGCGACAGGCTTTGGAGCTGGCGGTGCTGGCGACGAGCGAGGCTGACTCTGTTGAGTAAGACCAGTGATAATTGCATCGAGACGCTTCTCTCGCTCATTGGCTGCCTCCATCTGCTTTTTGAAGAGATCAGCAAGAGCAGCGATATCTGCGCTCGGCACACTTGGTGCAGCTGCATCTGACATTTCAGAAGACGGTCACGACTAGAGAAATAAATAAAATGTAATTGGACCTGCAGGCCTCGTGCGAACACAACCGGGATGCACCACGGGCAACTAGAAAAACACAGGTACGAAACTTCACTGCGCCATGTTATGTTCTCATGCACACCACTACTACTAGACAACAGGAACTAGTTTGGTGACAAGATAATAGAAACTAATTATTTACATTCTCAAGTGAGGAAGAAGAGCAAGGAGAAGAACACATGAATCCAGAATATGGATGCGTGCATGCGTCCAATAGAGACATGACGTAATCACGTGAAGCAAGGCGTATAACGTAACAATACGCGTTATGCGGGTGATAACAACTTGAAGTACATGCGCAATACATGAGTAGTTAGCATGATACATCAACTGGCGTACGCAGGAGCACGTGACCGCTTGTTCAACCATGTTCGATTGGGAATAAAGGAGGAACGCTGCATCGCAGCCTTTTCGGACCAAAACCAGTCGACCCAGCGTCCAAAAGAGTACAACATATGGGCCAATCGCGGTCATCCGTGCTTTATAAGAACGAAATGGCGCTTTTAGTGACATTTTGCATACAAATCCCCATCTAGTAGGGCGCAGTCACCCAGTTTCGGTGGAAGTGCGCGAGTTCGATTGGGATTCAAGTAGGAAGGGAGCGTCTCAGCTTCCTCGGACCACGACCATTCGACTCAGCACCCCGAAGACTACAACTGGTGAAATCTTAATTTTTGCCTTAAAGGGGAAGTTAAGGCAAAAATCAAAATTTCACCAGTTGTAGTCTTCGGGGTGCTGAGTCGAATGGTCTTGGTCCGAGAAAGCTGAGACGCTCCCTTCCTACTTGAATCCCAATCGAACTCGCGCACTTCCACCGAAACTGGGTGACTGCGCCCTACTACATGGGGATTTGTATGCAAAATGTCACTAAAAGCGCCATTTCGTTCTTATAAAAGCACGGATGACCGCGATTGGCCCATATGTTGTAGTCTTTTGGACGCTGAGTCGACTGGTTTTGGTCCGAAAAGGCTGCGATGCAGCGTTCCTCCTTTATTCCCAATCGAACATGGTTGAAGAAGCGGTCACGTGCTCCTGGGTGCCAAAATCACCTGGTCACCACGCCAGCAGGCGACAACTTTCACACCAAGGTTCAACTCGAGTGACAGGACTGCACCCAAAAAAGGTCAAAACAGGCTGTAAGTTGTACCCTGCAGGCACGGTGACCAGGTGACTGGTGTACGCAGGAGCACGTGACCGCTTGTTCAACCATGTTCGATTGGGAATTAGGGGCGAACGCTGCATCGCAGCCTTTTCGGACCAAAACCAGTCGACTCAGCGTCCAAAAGACTACAACATATGGGCCAATCGCGGTCATCCGTGCTTTTATAAGAACGAAATGGCGCTTTTAGTGACATTTTGCATACAAATCCCCATCTCGTAGGGCGCAGTCAGCCAGTTTCGGTGGAAGTGCGCGAGTTCGATTGGGATTCAAGTAGGAAGGGAGCGTCTCAGCTTTCTCGGACCAAGACCATTCGACTCAGCACCCCGAAGACTACAACTGGTGAAATTTTAATTTTTGCCTTAACTTCCCCTTTAACTTCCCCTTTAATCGCATTTCCGCGTCAATGTCAGCAATTTCTACATGATAAATGCCCACAGATTCGAATATGCCGAATGAAAACAACTCAAACTCATAGATAGCAAATTTCGTGATGCAGCGAATCACTGCCCATGTTCCTGTTTGAACCCATGCTGATTTGACCCTTCGTAACGAGCCATGAATTGTAGAGCCGTAGGAAAAAGCAAGTGAACACATACAGCCATGGGTCACATGCCAGTCGCGACGTGTTGTCTGTACGGTGTGAGTACATTTCTGTTAAAACGAACCGTTTGGCTATAAAGGACCAATTCTCCTGCACAATGTTGTTCGTTACTTCAGCGACTCAACTGCATACTACATGTACACCGTAGAGACGCATTGTTTTCTCTGTGGACCTAAAATATTTCTTTCCAGTATCGAGCGTACCAATGCACCCCCAGTACTCCATACACCCAGTTCTGACCTGTTTGCTACGTGTATGCGTTAATTAGTGCCTCACCAGCCAGCTGGCCGCCACAGGTACATGTACATGTATAGGTACACATATGTCCGGCTAACCACCACTATGCATGTTGCCTATTGGCATTGTAAACGTGATGGGGGGGGGGGGGGGGGAGGAAGGGGGGGGGGGGGAGGTAAGAGACAGTACTCACTATCGCCTTGCACGTTTATATTCACTGCGCCCGAACCAGTTTGCTTCACTGTAGACCACGCATGCACGCGCATGCACACACAAGAATACACAAGACTTAGTGTACATAAAAGCACACAGGTAGACACATAGAAAGCCTAACACACATACCCCAGCGGCACACACATACACATGTACATACACACCCACACACACACACGCATACCATGTACCACCATGTATATGCCCGTCGCAAGAGAAGCACGCAAATCTGCAAATACACTGGATGTGCATCCACAGATTTTCTCTTATACATGTAGCAACGATAGCGGATCTGATTCTGAATGAAACAGATCAAGACTAGTGCCAGACAACTGTCTAATCCAGGCAACTGGCGGAGCCATGTGAATCAACCCCCGATGCACACCTGGTCTACACCACACGGAGCACATCGGAAACGGACGGCCGAGACAGATACCTATGCACACCCTACACTTGCTGGGGTAACCAGGATAGACAGCACGCTGTTTTGATAGAATCAGACACTAGATGCACTGGCACCTTGAAGTGAAATTGGAATTAGTTTACCCACCAGTCTCGGCAACTGGGTACCGGGAACCCAGGTCCAACAGCCACACCAACGACCTCAGCCATGAAAGCTATGACTGTCGTAACGATACACTGGATTGTGGAGCCGAAACTAGTCCAACTTCCAAATGCTTTGGCAAGAAGGTAGCCTTCCGACAGGTCCTGGCTTCGGAGGACTCGGCTTGTCCGTTACCATGGACAATGCCTCAGAGACTACAGGTACAGTGCATGTAGATGCATACTCCTAGCGGTGAAGGGAGAGAGCAAATGCCAACGCCAACAGCCCTGTCGCTTAACTTCGCTGGTGACATTCTTGATACCCACAGTGGGGGCACTCGGATGCTGCCTGTCAAATCAGAAATCAAAATTGAGCAGGAATAGGAAGAAATTACAGCAAGTTCAACACACTGCAATGACCATCATTCTCGGATATCTCATCAAATTTGAAGGATACCGGCCGTCAAAGACATTCAGGGCCTTCTCGCCAGCAAAAACTACAGAGAAACTTCCTCTGGGAAGCCTGGGACAAAAGGGGGCCAAAGATCAAAGATCAATGTTTGGAATTTCTCAGATCTCGGAGTCCACGATACCAACATATACACAGTTGATAGTACTTTGACAGAATTATCTCCACTTCCGTACAGGGGATTGGGTACCGCGCTTTGCCGAGTATAAGCCGCACTTGGAACAATCAAAATGCACGCCAAAAGGGGGGGGGGGGGTGCGTCTTATACTCCGATGATCAAATAAACGGTGATAATAGGATAGATGTCTGTGTTTCCTAGCCAAAACTGTGTGTTTGTTTGTCTGGGGGGGGGGGGGGGGGGGGGTATACTGCAGTGCGGCTTACACTCCGGAAAGTACGGTACTTTTTCGTGGCAATGCGTCTCAGTGGGTGTGAGAATGTGTCCAATTGCCGGACATGCATGGTACAGGTCTGCTCTCGATATAACAACTCTCACTTGTACATAAACCTCGCTAGTACGTAAAAAATCAAATCCCGCGCCGAAACAGCATCACTCCCATACAAATTTTGTTCTACACAACATAATCCTACATAACGTAAACCTCGGCATAACGCACGCTACGGCGCGCTCCCCGACGTGCGCACTCTCGATACAACGTAGATTCACGTGCGCAGTGCAATCGAGCTGTAGCCGTAGCTAACACTATAGCCAGTCTAGTCATATTGTGCATATATTCTGCGGCATTGATGGTATCTGATGTCGATGGTGGTACAGTGTGTATATGTTTGCACGGTTGAATCCGCCTGGCAATACCCTTCATTTTGAGGTACATCTTGCATTTTTAACACAGTTTTCTACATAACATATCTCTCGATATAACATAATTTTTGCGTGGTCCCAGAGATTACGTTATATGGAGAGTAGAACTGTACAGGAGACTTTGACGGTGTCAGGGTTGACGCCGCGACTCGCATTAGCTGGCAGCAACTTCAAGTCCATGCCAAAAGAGAATCCCTTCCTGACGCCATCACGTGGTACATGTAGAAAGAAACCCGCCTAAACCTGGACCGATCGAGGCGAAACTAACAGACTTTTGGGTACTGTAAAACATGTTGTTTTCGGTGTATTAAAAATTCCACCTAAAAGCCTCTGGAGTATGCACTGTATGTGAGTATGCACTGTATGTGAGTATGCACTGTATGTGAGTATGCACTGTATGTGAGTATGCACGGGATGTGATGGGAAAGCTGCTCACCTAACTCTACATTGCACCTGAAACCTGTCAGGTCCCTGTCACCGAAATTTTAATACACCTAAACATGCTAAAATTACACGTTTCACAGTGACTTAAATCTCATGATCCCAGTACTGTAAAGTACCACAAGAGCGTCCTGTTTAGCGAGAGCGCTCAACTATCATTTTACAGCCAGGGAAAGGAAATCGTATGGCAGAATGCAACAAAGGTTGTACGGCGTGAAAAACGTAGTGTACTAAGGTCACGGGTAGCATGTTTTTGTGTGGAGCTCAAAGGTGAACTGAGTACGAATTGACTGCACAGCGTGCAGTGAGTGTATAAGGTACTTGAGTATGTGTCGTATGACCTTCAGATTAGACACCACCTGCACAGCACGACCATGAAACATGAAAGGACGAGTTGGTGGGGCGCTCTCGCGGTACTTTATGGTATAAGACTGTGAGTAAAGGAATACCCTACCTGATTGCCAGCGGTAGGTGTGAAGCCACACGGAAGAGCGGAGCAACATCATCATCATCATCCACTAAACCTGCCGTTAGAGAGAGAGAGAGAGAGAGAGAGAGAGAGAGAGAGAGAGAGAGAGAGAGAGAGAGAGAGAGAGAGAGAGAGAGAGAGAGAGAGAGAGAGAGAGAGAGTGAGGAGAGAGAGAGAGAGAGAGAGAGTGAGGAGAGAGAGAGAGAGAGAGAGAGAGAGAGAGAGAGAGAGAGAGAGAGAGAGGGAGAGAGAGAGAGAGAGAGGGAGAGAGAAGGAGAGAGGGAGAGAGGGAGAGAGAGAGAGAGAGAGAGAGAGAGAGAGAGCGAGAGAGAGAGAGAGAGAGAGAGAGAGAGAGAGAGAGAGAGAGAGAGAGAGAGGAGAGAGAGAGAGAGAGTGAGTGAGAGAGAGAGAGATAGAGAGCGAGAGAGAGAGAGAGAGAAATAATGTTTGCGTGTGTATGTGCGAGAGAGAGCAAGAGCGAGAGCAAGAGAGGGAGAGAAAGAGAGAGAGAGAGAGAGAGAGAGAGAGAGAGAGAGAGAAAGCAATGCATGAATGTTTCCATGTACAGGGCCGGCGGAACCGGTCTGGTCGGTCCGGCCATGGCCGGACCAACTTTTCGGCCACCAACGATTTTTTTAGGACGCAGTAACGTCATGTTGTGATCATCGATTGTACATGTACGCGTACTTGCGATCTCGCTCTGATCTTGCCGTGTACGCGTACGCGCTTGAGGACTAGCTGTGGTCTGTGGCGCACAGTGTGGGCCTGTAGCTGTGGCGCGAGTCGCGCGACCTGAAAGCACGTGCCATGATGGATTCTACATTGTAATTAATTTGTAGTACTTGAGGGTTTTTCGCCGAGTGCTTCAGATTCTTTTACTGAACGAAGTAGTTTTTCAATTTTGTCTCGCTGTTTGGTCAGCTTTAATAGCCGCAGTGCATGCTTAGCAGTTATGGCTTCTTCCAGCAGAATTTGGGAAAAAGACAGTGGTGAAGCGCTCTTATCAGGCGTCATATTTCAAGACATGATCTTGGTTGACCTACGATGAGCAAAGAGACGTTGTGTTGTGTCACACGTGGGCAAGTGCTGTGCTGGCGAAAAACCTTTTACCGAAGCGTGGGCCCGGCTCTGTGGGCATGGCCGGACCAATCAACAATTGCTTCCGCCGGGCCTGAATTGTATAACCCATAACACGAAATAGTCATAGGGGCGCTTATCAAGAGAAAACTAAATCAGGAGTGAGAGACCTACACTCAGCTCTATCACCAGGGATGTAATCAAGAGCAAGAACATTGTACTACAATACAACTGAATAGTACTCAAGTACAGTGATGGCAACTGAAATCCGACCCCCTGAGCGGTGCGCTCACATCGCAAAGACCCGAAATACATGTAGAGGCCGCTAGAAAGTGAACGCGCCGCCCAGGGGGTCGGATTTCAGTTGCCATCACTGTAGTAGCTGTTCTGTAGTATCGTACTTCCAGAACGTACCAAGAGTATATGAGCCCGGCTCTAGATCCGAAAAGGGGGCTTATGTCGTTTGGCGCAGTATCGAGAACAAAATGCATCTGAAAGTTGAGTTTTCCGTATTTAGCGATGCATAAATGCCCATTGAAAACACCCATAACTCAGTGAAAATCAAGATTTTGGACCTACATGTAGGGTTTTTACAGAGTGATCTGATTAGGTACAGCAATGTCATGCGTGGTATAGACAACTCAAAATGCTCCAAAATGACATACATGTAAGCCTCCTTTTTGGATCAAGAGGCTCATATTATACTAAGGGTTCTAGCCAGGTCAAAATAGGGGGGGGGGGGGGAGGAAACAGTTTCCCCGTAACCCATTTTTCCATTTTCCAAAATTATCTTTCCATGTAAAATGGGGGTGAACCCGGCGGGCCCCAACTTCACCCCAGACAAGTGTGCCTTTACGAACCCTCTTTTAGTGACTACCCGCCTTGTTGGCAACTAGCTAACACGGGTAATGGATACCGACTGATCAACAGAGACTATCTTAAAAATGGAGTTGTCATTGTGTGCAGATTGTAAAGTTTCATTTTCTTTTTATTTACATTTTTTGTTTTGTTTTGCTTTGCAGTTGTTGCCGCGGTCAGGCCAGTGAAATCATGTTCTGTGATTGCCCGTATAGAAGGCTTAACAAATCTTTTAGTGACTATTGACTGCACTTTCGTTGGATAGCCTGAAAGTACACAATAATCGACAAATGAGGAGGGGCGCCATATTTTTACAGGGGGGGGGGGGGGGGGGGAGGGAGGTTGCACTCAATCAGAGAAGGGGGGGGGGGGCACTGCACCCTCCCCCCTTTACCCTCCTTTGGCTCGAACCCTGAATACTACATTAGAGTAAATTAATTTAACAACCCCCCCCCCCCCCATGTCATGATACCTCAGACTAAAATATCTCCAGAATAGTAGGTAAGCGTGTAGCAGTCGATCTACAGTTCTTTTTCTTGACACTGAGAACCAGCCAAAGGTGAGTTTTGAGCAGTAAATCAGTCCACTTACTGTCTACACAGCTGTCAAGTGGAGTGCCGCTCTCCTCTCCGCAGTCAACTCCGACCGTGACGTATTCATCTAGCCAGCCTCTCATTCTATCTAGCACGGCCTCCGTTAGGCGAACAGCGATGTTGCAGTCTGTAGCAATGTCGATCCGTTCCTTAAACCTGTAGCACCAAGGTCCCCTGTGTATACCGACCACTTCCACACTGCTACTATCTTTCAAGTCCACGTACACTGGAGACCCGCTGTTACCCGGGGATGCTTCTATGTAGTAGCGGTACAGCGACTCACTCGTCTGGGGTGACGGCCGAAACACCTCACGCTCCTGGTCGAAGTGGTTTTGCGGGAACGAGAATATCCCGTTGCTGTTCCGCTCCGCGACCCTCCGGAAATCCGCATCACGCAGGCGCTTGTCGCTCATCTTAACTGCGGGTGCCGACGTTGAGCACGCCGCTGAACAGTACTGGGCACCCGTGACGCAATATCGCTTCACATCGGGCCGTCCCGGAACGCCGGCACTCACACCGTCCTCTTCACCGTAGCCGGGGATGTCTGGTCGCCGGTAAACATTCTGTGGGTAACCGCACACCGCACCGTTCTGGTAACACGGCCTGAGCGACGCGGGCAGACAAAGGCTGATGTTCTGTGTATCCACGTCCAGTAAGCTGTCACGACGTAGCACTATCAATCCATAGTCGCTACGGCATTGGGCATCGTGGGTCGTGAACGTTTTAAACTCCTCCGGCACGCGGTAGAATCCACTCTTAGTGTCGCCGTGGTGTATTTCCTTTTGTTTCGTGCGAGCCGTCCACTCCAGGGTGCCTGGCTGCTTCATGTGCACCAGGGCAATCTTCTCTGCGTAGCACCTATGTTTGTAACAGTAAAGGTTATGAGCTACGGTGAAGAAACACACGTACTCGTCTCCCTTTTCTCCTTCATTGAACAAGTTAAACGATGACTTACTCCCTCTTCCACTGATACTCTTCGCCAAGAAACAAGTTCCATAGCTGGGCGGTTTGCGATTCTTGCAACACTCAGTTTTGAAGGACAGCAGCTGGACGACATCCCCGTGAGGCCCCACGCGATTATTCAGGGGTATCCATTTTCGCGTGTCAAATTCCTCATCCGGACCGCGGAGTCCACCGACCTCCTCGCCCGCACCAATGTTCCCTCCTGAGCCTGACAAGTGGCTTCTGGTAGATCTACATGTACTCATAGATACAGTTGCCGCCTGCATAGCACCAGTGCTAGCGGCAGTAGCGCGGACCAGGTGTGCTGGAGAGCGCGACCGCCTGTGCAGGGGAGGACTGTGGACAGAACCGAATAATCTGGTGATCCGACCAGGGCGGCTTGCATTTGTAGAGGGCTGGTACTCACACTCCGGGGCTGTCCACCGTAGCACGTTTTTTTAGTCGGGTAGCTTCAACGGAATGGAGGCAGAAGATTCAAGAAGCGGCCTCTGGAATCAGCGGAGTGACAAGTGACTGTGTCTTGCAAACTCTTTCGCGATAGTCGATGCTGAAGGATCACTCATAATAATAATTTAAAAATTAATAGTAAACAACGACGCTGTTGTCAGCATTCGTAATCATGGTAATCGTGGTTTGCAACTACCACCATGACTTGTACAAAATACTGTAGCGGTTTTTCGGGAGCAGTTTTTCCAGCACCATGCGGCATGCCTACATACAGTCATACTGCACTGGGAACTACATGACTGACTGTTTCCCGTATGTCACATGACTGTTGCCTTGGAGTCGACCAATGACAGATCAAATTACGCGGGCTGGAAAGCGCGATCCTGCCTGATGAATGGTGATGGAACTAGTTCCACTGCCCGTCGTCAAGTGACGACGGGCAGTGGACGGAATCCACTGCCCGTCGTCACTTGACGACGGGCAGTGGACAGAATCCACTGCCCGTCGTCACTTGACGACGGGCAGTGGACAGAATCCACTCGTGAGTCTACCATTTCAATGACAAGCTTCTGTGGTCTGAAAGTACATGCAAAAGTCGTGTACTGAGTCTGTAGTCCGTGTCCGGTTGTCGAAGTCACTCTCACTCAGCTCACACTGACACAGCCTCATACAGCCATACAGGACTCGAGTCAAGTCACAGAATGGTTCATGTAAACTCAAACGTCAAAGATTGTGAGTGATCTCCTTGGCTTGGGTGCATACGGGAAACACGTTCCAGTCACTCATACTCGGTCAGCACCGCTGCTCATCCAGCCCTTGCCGCTATCGCGGCGCGGGCAGGATTCCGCGGTACTGCCCTCATACTCGTGCAGGAACCTGTACGTACTGCAAGTACTTGAGAGAAGTTGAGGCCAGGCGCAAGGGGAAGTACGGGGTTTTCGGCACTTTACCTTTGGCTTTGCCGCTGCCACTAGTCACTGTCTGTACATGTAGTGCCAGTGCAAGTGGTCATCATGGACATGGACGATATATATCGATATGGGTTGATCGGGGCTGCATGCATGCGGGCGCCGCGCACACTCGCAGCATGCACGCAAGCTCGTGAAAAAAAAAACTGCCTCTCCTGCTATGCAGCTCCTGCTGCAGCGCTGAGTCCTGGTCTCTACTTCAGTACTTGTTGAGTGCTGTATGCATGGTATGTGTGGGGCGAGTGGCCCTCGCTCGTGTAGATTTTGTAGGCAGTAAGAAAGGTATCCATGTTATGTCCTTAGAGTTGCGACGCACCTCCACTTGCTCCTCCAGACTCCACTCATATTAATTTATCTTGTGCAAGAAGGGCACACGCACACCATTGTGCGCTGGTCTTCCGCAGTCCCGTATTTATTTTTGTAGTAATCAGACTCGAGCTTTGTTACCGTGTGGCCGCGTCCAGTTTTCAGCGCGGGTGCCCAATGGCCAGCGGAGGTGTGGACATTTGTGCAGGTCAGGAAGACGGCGGACTGCGCGGCCTGGACCATGAGTTCGATAAGAGAATATGGGTGCCAGGCCCACTGAATGGCCGCGAGGGGCCGCATAGGGATGTGGTGCAAGTCGTGATCTTCAAGACCTGCTGCAAGCACCTCAAGTTGCCCACCTTTGGTACGTGCTTCTTAGCGAAGACTGCTGAGGGAAGTCCCCTAGTTCTCAATGGCGGTGCAGCAGAAGACGAATATGCGTGTTTCTTCACCGTTGCTCATAATCTGTATTGCAAAAAGCACGCATGCTATGTGGCCAAGATTGCATTGGTACACATGAACAAACCAGGCACACCGGCTGAGAGGACACCGCGCACCAAATCTAAAGACATGAGCCACAACGACAAGATTGGATTCTACCGAGTCCCGCAGGAGTTCAAGCAGTGCAAGACACGGGACGGCTTGTGTCAAAGCGACTACGGATTGATAGTGGTGCGCCGGGACGAGCTACTGGATCTGGATCTGCAGCACATTAGCCTCTCCTTGCCCACGTCGCTCGTAGGCGAGAGCGCAGCGTGCTACCCGCACGGTGTCGTGTGCGGCTATCCCGTGTACGTGTTCCAGAAGCCCAACACGAGCGAGTACAACCTCGGCGGCGAGAGCGCCGGGTTCAAGGAGCGACCGGACGTGAAGCGCTACCTTGTAGTCGGCGCACAGTATTGCTCGGTGCCCAGTGGCAGCAGTGATTCGGTCCAGGAAAGCGACGCACAAGCGCTGAGCAAAGAAGACCGTCGTCAACTCGAGCGGCACAGCGACGGGATCTTCTCATTTCCGCAGAACCACTTCGACGAGGAGTGCGAAAAGTATTGCCCGCAGTCCTCGGCGAGTGCAGCGCTGTACCGGTACTACATTGACACGTCACCGGGCAACAGCGGATCTCCCGTCTATGTGCCGATGCAGGATGGCACGTTTGTAGTGGTCGGCCTGCACCGTGGAACGTGGTACTATCATCACAAGAATGACGTCGACCGGGCGACAGACTGCAACGTTGCCGTGCGCCTGACCGACACGGTGCTGAAGAGAATGAAAGACTGGCTGGCGCACTATATCAGTAAGCAACACGGAGACCCTATCAGTGGTGACGATGGAGATGAGAACGGCGCTCCACTTGATGACGGCAGTGACAGTAAGTTGACCATTGGCTGTTCTAATTGTACAGAAATCATTTATTTATTTAATAAAAATTGTGATGGAAGAAATATGTGGACAATAAAAAGGGCTTAGAACTAGTTTTCGTGCAAAACTCGCTGTTTGTCCATCAGTGCAATGAAACTTCCTGAAAAGTATTTCACGGAAACTATATTGTCCTCATTTAATATTTTATAATAAAGGATTCCCCATAGGCTAAAAGCCTATCTGGGGGGTTTACAGTCTTGGCCAGCAAGCAGCCCATTAGAAAACAGTCCCGATGATTGTAGTCGGTATGTGAGGCAAAATCATGCCAAGGTGGAGTATGGTATGTCAATAGTTTTTGGCATATCTTAGTACAGGTATGAGCGTGTGTGTGTGTGTGTATGTGTGTGTGTGTGTGTGTGTGTGTGTGTGTGTGCATGTGTGTGTGTGTGTATGTGTGTGTGTGTGTGTGTGTGTGTGTAAGATATGGTGCAGTGGGATGTGCTGTCGATTTCCTATCGAGATGTTACGGATTCTATTCCCGACGGTTATGGGAGCACATGTCTTTCTTGTCTTTCTCATTCTCCTAGCTCTTCTTTCATTCTCCTGGGTGGCTACCAACAGCCGGTGCATTCTGGAGTATGTGGTGGTGGTGGTGGTGGTGTTGGTGGTGGTGGTGGTGGTGGTGGTGGTGGTGGTGGTGGTGGTGTGTGTGTGTGTGTGTGTGTGTGTGTGTGTGTGCGTGCGTGTGTGTGTGTGTGTGTGTGTGAAAAACATGAATAAGAAAAGAATTTTAAAAAAAAAATAGGGAATCAACTGGCCAAAAAGCCACTTTAACCAGCCGTGTGGTGTAGACCAGGCAAAAATTAGTGGCGGTCAATTAATCAGCCTTGCAAGCTGTTAAATGGTGTAATCCCAGCACAAGTTGCTATGTCTAACATGGATGTTCCCTATCATCGCTTCAGGGGTGGGCAGGACTATGAGTCTGAGTATGCGTGTGTGTGTGTATACATGTGCGTGTGTGCCTGCATGTGCACACACATTTGTGTGTGTGTGTGCATGCCTACGTATACACATTCATTTGTGTGTGTGTGTGTTTTTGTGTGTGTGTGTGTGTGTCCCATATGGTGCAGTGGTATGGGCAGCGATTTCCTATTGATAGGGTGTGGGTTCGATTCCCGACACATATGGTCACACACGTCTTTCTTCTCTTTCTCGGACTCCTCCTGGCTTTTCTTTCATTTTCTTGGGTGGTTACCAACAGCCAGTGCATGCCGTAGTATGAGTATGTGGTGTGATGTGTGTGCGGGGAAAAAATAAAAAGACCAAAAAGTAGGGATTCACTGGCAAAAAAAAAAACACTTCATAGCTGTGTGGTGTAGACCAGGCTGAATACTGGCAGTCAATTCTTCAGCCTTGCAAGCTGTTGAATGGTGCAATCCCAGCACAAGTTGCTATGGCTTCTGCTGTAGCATCGCCTCCGGTGAGGGCGTCAAATGGTCAAATGGTGTGTGTGTGTGTGTGTGTGTGTGTGTGTGTGTGTGTGTCTGTGTGTGTGTCCCATATGGTGCAGTGGTATGTGCAGCGATTTCCAATCGATGGGTTGCGGGTTCGATTCCCCACAATTATGGTCACACACGTCTTTCTTCTCTTTCTCAGACACTTCCTAACTTTGTTCATTCTCCTGGGTGGTTACCAACAGCCAGTGCATGCCGGAGTATGTGGTGTGATGTGTGTGCGGGGAAAAAAATGAAAAGACCAAAAATGGGGATTCACTGGCCAGAAAAAGTCACTTCAAATAGCTGTATGGTGTAGACCAGGCTGAATAGTGACGGTCAATTCTTCAGCCTTGCAAGCTGTTGAATGGTGCAATTCTAGCGCAAGTTGCTATGGCTTCTGCCGTAGCATTGCTATCATCGCCTCCGGCGATGGGCATCAAAGGTCGAAGGTGTGTGTGTGTGTGTGCATGATGTACTCTGTGTGTGTGTGTTTGTGTGTGTAAGTATGTGTAGCACACACTTGTGTGCATCTGCTACGGATGCATATATCGGAAAGCTACTTCGATTTCATTGAGCAGGACTGTACATGCTGAAGTTTGCCCATAGCTCTGTCTGATCAAATCAACTTGGATCCGAGCAAAGAAACTGTTGAAGCATTGAGAATCTGACTTGTGCATCGATCTTGCAGACATGTGTGGCATGATAATGTGCAGATTGCATGCAGTATGCATCGCCAGCACTTGTTATTCATGCCAAGGTGTCTGCAGTTAACAACCCCCTGGGGATCATAGGACCGTTGTTGATGGTGGTACACATGTACCTTTTCCTGGTCTTGCTGAAAGTGATATACTTTGCGCTGGGAGTCTGACATTGCTAACTGTTGATCACAATTGGCGATTGCCGCTAACTTCTTGTGTTGCCTGGCATCCACTGTCACTGCCATGGCGGTGGATATTTGAGGAGATCATTTACTGGCAGACAGAGGAAACAAAAGGAGAATTACTTCGGCATTCCCGTATCTGATGGCCAGTTCTTTAGCTTTGCATGCTCAGGGCCATCACATTCTCTATAACCAGTAAGACCATGTTCGTACCACTTTTCGTCCAAGATGGTCTGCCCAGGGCGCCTGTAGAGCACTAAAACGTGCCCTGTTGGCCGAAAAATCCGATTTTTTTCCCGGGGGGGGGGGGACCTCCCATCATACCTCTCCCCGCTGTCCAGGGGCACCTGATGCAGTTTAAAAAAATCACGGAGAACACAGTCAACATTGCTAAGTTACTGTTATGCTCATCAATTTTGGCAGGGTGGGATAGAGAGGGTACTTGCCCAATTAGCAATGCTATTTGTGAATGTTCCGTTATCTCCAGTGCAGCAGAGCATTTCCTCACTCGAGCTGTCCAGCTTTACTCCTTCATCCCCTTTGTGTGTAGTGGGGGGCATCAAGCTGTTTAGGCAGTTTATTTTTGATTGCCCTTTTCACCTTACTTTTTGTGTCTGTCCCTCTTTTTTCTTGTGCGGGTCTTCTCTTCAATGCAATTCTAGTTCTAATGGATGTTGATAATTATGAGTCGCTGCCATTCCTCCGTGGCTTACTGCAAGCAGACGGGTACGTACCAGGGGGAAATGAATCTAACTCGCTGCTCTGGCAATGTGCAAAGCAGTGCTGTTGGCACACTGAGTATGGGACAATAGCATGTTGTGCCCCTTGTCACATGTGCTGGAAGGAAGATGAGCTAGAGTTGTACCCATACTATTCCACATGTTCTGGCTGCTACACCGATAGCGTTTCTACACAACGTTTGGTTTTTTTAAAAGCGGACTGTCAGCCTGAGGTTGTCATCAATTGCCGAATATGGATGAAGTGCGAGCCGGTGGTGTGGTCCGAGCAATACTTGCGCAATCGAACAAAGCAAAGGGGTAGCACGTATATCAACGAAACAGCAGGCCTGTTTTGTTTTGTTTGCATTTCTGTACTGTTACGCACACATATCTTACAAATAATCTGTGAAAGCTGAACGTCACAGTCCATTTCCCACTGCAGCCACTGCCGGTGTGGACGACGTGGTGCGGGGATTGTACTCCAAGTACGAGTACATCTACTTCTGATTCGGCCACACGCTCACTCTCGCTTGGGATTCGCCCTATCGATCATGCTCTAATATAGACATGTTATTTTTTGCTGTGCAGAAAAAATGGTCATATCGCATGAGAATGTTGATTCTATGTTCGGGTGCTTCTCTGCTTTGTCACAGTGAATGCAATGCCATTCGAACATTCAAATATAATGTATGCTCCATTCCACTCCTTGCCTATTTTATTTAGAAACAGGAAATCCAATGTGGTGGTCAGTAACATCACAAAGAAAGGTGAGTTGGCTTGCCTTTGGCAGGTTACACATGCTCTCACTCATCGCCTGTTTCGTGTGCATTTTGAGTTTGTGGCTGAGGAAGCATCGCCACTAGCCGGCGGTGGAAGTTGAGTTTCTTGAAATGTAAATGTGCCTATCTGAATTTTGGGTGTCTTGGCCCAGCAAGCCTGCGATGTTGTTTGTGATCACCTCAAGCTTTGTAACAGAAATGATTGTGTGTGTGTGTGTGTGTGTGTGTGTGTGTGTGTGTGTGTGTGTGTGTGTGTGTGTCTGTGTGTGTGTGTCTGTGTGTGTGTGTGTATGTGTGTGTATGTGTGTGTATGTGTGTGTGCCAGCTAGTTCGGTTGGTGGGTACACTTATGCCAGATAGTGTTGGGCTTGTTGCCAACGGGCTCGGCTGCTTGAAGGTGTATTGTTGTACCTACCACCTTTGTTGGTTTCAGGGTTCATATACTTTCTATTTGAAGTATACATACCTGTTAACCATGGACTGCTTCTGGCTAGATTAACTCTTGTGTAATCAATGGTGCTAGTGAAGCTTATATCAGATCCACTCTGATTTAGCCACCCACACTAGTACCAAGTATTACCTTCACTGGGGGCAGGGGTACCTGCAGTTGGATCCCGGGACGGATACCCTGATGCCGTCAATCCTTTTTCTGCACCTTGTCCTCACCCACTTACTGAGGTGTGGTGATCCCATAAGTGGGATCATTTCAAGTCCACCCTAGTTTGGGGATTTCAGGGGGTGTCGGCCGTTGGGTGGTTCAATGGCCAATTGAGTCATCTTTCCAGGATTCCTTTTGAGTCTCTCTCCCCTCTCCCGGGGAGACCCACGTGACCAGTTTTGGCAGTGAGCAAGTACAAGTATATAAGTGTGTATGTGTGTGTGTGTGTGTGTGTGTGTATGTGTGACTATGTGCGTGCGAGTGTTGTTTACATGCATTTGTGCACATTGGCGGAATGTGTTCTGTTGTGCAGTGGAGCAAAGCGGAACATTTAATATCAACGCTACAGGCAATGGTAGGTACTTCAAGTGTTGGATACGTATCTCCCTAAGGATTACCATCATGTAGTTAACGGTCGCCTCAATGCTGTAGACAGCCAGCTGTTTCGGCTATCTAGGCTTCGTCAATACACCTACAAGCTTTAAGCAAGCCGAGCTACCAGCCAAGGCACCACAGACATTAAGATAGCTCGTCGCTCTAGCGCCAGAGTGCTCGAACTATGAAAAGTAGCGAGCAAAGCATGGGCTTAACTGTGGGTCATTATGGTGCCTGCAGTCATTTTGTTACCATTACTCTATATCTCTCTTAGTATGGACTCACACTGACTTGTTGCCATACCTGCATGTAAGCAGTGAAATATTCCTGCATATTTCACACCTTAGGGCTATATTGACTGCTTATATTTGACTCCTTTTTAGGGATTGAGCGCATGCTTTGGTTTGTCGTGATACTGTAGAACGGGTAATTTAGGCGACGTAAAAACCCTAGCGAATGTAGCAATCGACTCATTTTCGCTAAAGGTTCAAGTCGCTAATCCGTTGAGACATTAGTAGTGCACTGGTGACCCGTGAGTAAAATCGCTGCAAATCGCTAAAATAGAACGTCGCTAACCGGTTGACAATGGGAAAACGCTAAGATTAATAGTCGCTAAAATTACCCGTTCTACAGTAAATCTAATATTGACTTCGTACTAGATCAATAATTATAGGAAATAAAACCTCGTAAAAGACCTTGGCTTCACCTCGTAAAAGACCTCGGCTTCACCTTGGTCTTCTACTCGGCCTTTGTTCCCAAAATTGACCTCACACTCGGTCAATATTAGATACTCACCGCCTTCTCAGTATGTGACCCCACTGTTTCACCTGACCTAAGCACTCTAAATCTAATGTGTTGCATAGAGACTGTGTACCGTAAAGTTCCGTAAATAAGCCCTGGGCGTATACAGAACAAGGGTCTGAAAACTGGGCGCATATTTGGGCATGGGCGTTATTTCAGGACTAGGCCTATACAAGGTGCATATTGCATCGCTTGCGTATCATAAGCGTGCATAACATTTTTGCACACATACGCATACACAGGTACAGCATCGCCCTGGGCGGTTTTCGGGCATGGGCGAACCCACGAGCTTTGAGTGTAGATGTTGATTCGATGGGCGCTATTTCGGGCATGGGCGTTATTTCGAGTGGGCGTATACACGGAACTTTACGGTATACTTGACTCCTTTTCAGAGAAGCCGATAAAGAGATTATTGACCTCATAGTCTTTATTTTTATTTTAGGAATTTACTGTCCGCACCTCATGGCCGAGCTTCCGCATCCGTAGGAACGCCACCGCCCTCTAGGATCACGGTGCAAATGCAGTTCCTAAGCGGTGGGAGGTGAAAAAAAGGAAGAAAAATACGTATCGGTACAGACTGGGGCGTTAAAGAGCATCACTTTTGCGGCAGAGCCTCCTATGTCTAACATAGCTGTTCGCTATCATCGCTTCTGCGATGGGCAGGTCTGAGGTCTGAGGCGTGTGCGTGTTGTCTCTTCTCTTCCTGATATGGTAGCTCAAGTCCATGTCCATGTCACCGGGCCGCTGCAGCAGATGCAAGGTACATGTATAGTGAAGCCTGTCTAAGACGACCGCTCAAGGGACCTTCGAAACGTAGTCTCTGTTACCGGGTGGTCCCCTTATCCAGGGTCAATTGGCTGGAAATAGCATCCCTTGGTTCTGGTTGCAGTGGTCTTCTGGGACAGGGGTCGCCTTGTCCGAGTGGTCGCCTTGTTAGGTTTAACTGTATGTATGCATGTATGTATGTATGTATGTATGTATGTATGTATGTATGTATGCTGCAGGCATAGTCTTACTATGTATGTATGTATGTATGTATGTATGTATGTAGGTATGACCCACAACCATATTGGTCGTAGGGGCATTGAATTGTCATTGGCAATAGAAGGAGCTAAGTACACTCATAAACAAGTTGTCTATATTCAATGTGCTCGGCAGCAGCGAGCGCGCGCGAGAGAGAGAGAGAGAGAGAGAGAGAGAGAGAGAGAGATAGATAGAGAGAGAGAGATAGAGAGAGACTCCCCCCCCCTCTCTTCTCTCGAGAATGGCTTCACCCCCGACACACCAGCCCAGGACCACACACCTCACTCGCCAGGCTGTACGACTATCCACCGCACATCCCCATCAGTTACGGAATGTTCTTCCTGCAAATTCCCGGAACAATGTGAGCCAGAGAGCCAGAGAGAGAGAGAGAGAGAGAGAGAGAGAGAGAGAGAGAGAGAGAGAGAGAGAAATAGAGAGAAATAGAGAGAGAGAGAGAGAGAGAGAGAGAGAGAGAGAGAGAGAGAGAGAGAGAGAGAGAGAGAGAGAGAGAGAGAGAGAGAGAGAGGGGAAGGAGAGAGAGAGAGAGAGAGAGAGAGAGAGAGAGAGAGAGAGAGAGAGAGAGAGAGAGAGAGAGAGAGAGAGAGAGAACTGCATGACATATTGGACCATTCCGTTTTGGCAAGGTGCTATATTGTTTCAGTGTAGACTAAAGAGAGAGCTGTAATTTTCTAATTTGTGCGGGTTTGCATATCACCGCCATGGACAGTGGAAGTTGTTAAGACACAAGCGCTTTGATTTCGTTATCTGTTGTTTCTCAGGTCATTCCTCCACCGAGTCTGTGCCAATTCCCGAGAGTTCAGGGTGCGAAACGGGTGGCCATCCTGACAAGATGGACCATGAGGATTCTCCCGTTGTCGGAGGCAATCGTAGCGTTACAAGTACTACTGTTGCTCCTGCCGCTTCTGCTCCCGGTGCTTTGGCGTCCGCTGGTGGCAGTGGTCATGGTAGTCATGCGCAGGCGTCGCAGGATTTTGAAAAAGATCCAGTTAGTCCAGTTCAGGAGATAAGTCCATTCGACGGTTCGGAACCGTCACAACACCACCACCACCCACAACAACAGGAGCAATTGCAAATGACAGTGCAGCAGCAGCAGGAGCAGGAACTGCAGCAGCTGCGGCAGCATCATCAACAGCAGCAGCAGGAACTGGAGCAACTGCGGCAGCGGGAACTGGAGCAGCTTCGGCACCGGCAGCAGCAGCAGCAGCAGGAACTGGAGCAGCTGCGGCAGCGGCAGCAGCAGCCGCAAGTAAGTGATTTTCAGCCACGCCAGGACAGTGCAGAGGGGCAAGCCAAGCGTCCAGTACAAGAGGGTGCGCAGAAACCTGGCGCGTCTGCACAGCAGCATGGTAAGTTGTACGACAAATGACATCGCCACCCTCCTTTGTTTTGCTTGCTTATGCATTAGGGAACATTCTGGCATGGACTTGTAATGAATGGTTTGGAGAACAGACATCAGTACTTCTACACTTCTACTTTCTAATGATGTGTATGTATTGTGTGTAAGTGTGTGTATATGTGTGTAAGTGTGTAAGTGTGTGTATGTGTGTATATGTGTACAGCGGCAGAAGAAGACTTGGTTGTGGCATTGCTGTATGATCATTGTGCTTGTATTACTGGCCCTGTCTACTGGACAAAGAGCACTATGCACAGTCTGAGGACCTTAGACAACTGTGTGTGTGTGTGTGTGTGTGTGTGTGTGTGTGTGTGTGTGTGTGTGTGTGTGACTGTGTGTGTGTTTATGTTTGTGTGTGTGTGTGTGTGTGTGTGTGCACGTGCATGCATGTATGTGTGCGTGTGCATGTGTGTATGGCTGTGCGTGTGTCCGCGCAGACCCAGTGCCTATGGCAGGTTTGGGATGTGCCGTGGGTCTGGATGGCTGGGTGAACTTGGGAAGTATGCCGAGAAAGGAGAGGGACATCCTCTATAACTACCTTCGCCATTACCTGGCTAAAAGTCCCAAGATGGTGTACACCCTTGCTATCTATCTACTGGACGGTTGCACAGACGTACCGGACCCGGAAGTGGTAAGTTTCGCTAAATGCATACTGCGAAGACAGTAACGGAAACCGTGTTCCGAGTTGAACCTGTGGATTCTGATAACTCACACACACCTTACTGTCTCTGTTAGCCCGCCCACATTCCGTGTGCACATTCACGGTGTCAAGCCACCGCACTGCATGCACATCACCAGTGCTAAACAAGCCCAGGGTTTGTATGAGAGCGTGGGCTGGTTCTTGGAAGTCAGTTCTGTATCAGTCATTATTGTGCTGTCTGTTGCACTGTCTGACTCACCGGCATCATCCTTAGAACTGCTGCTCAAACTACAGTGCTGTCGAGCGCCGAAGAACGGATCGGCTAGAATCTCACCAAGCACAGCATACCAATGTATTCACAGCAGCTCAATTGTGCATGCAATGTATATGCAGTACATGAAACAGGGGCGTCGGAAGGAGTTTAACATTGGTGCGGCTAAAATGTGAGGGGGGGCCGGGGGTCCTCCCCGGGAAATTTTTTGAAAATTTGGCCTAAAAAGCCATATAGAATAACAAAAAGAATATGGATGCTGATGATACACCGCATTGTCGATGTAAAACATGGTACCTGTACAAGAGTCGACAAGCCACCAACAAGGTTGAAATGTAAAAAAAATCGAAAATTATTGGTGCGGGTTTGGCCGCACCTGCCGCACCGGTTCCGACGCCCCTGTGAAAATATGAACCGTTGGTTGACCCCCCCCCCCCCCCAGCTCTTCGGCGACTGACAGTACTATACGGATAAGTTTCATGTGCTGCTCAATGAAATCCAGTCACGGCACTCACGTTTGCGCCTTGCGGCATTTCGCAGCCCTGTGTTCGCTGGTCTAGGACTGGGCAACGCCTGGCACTTACTTTACTGACGGGACTGGATTTCATCGAGCAGTACTATAGCTGAGGGAAGTTTGCCATGACTGCATTCGCTGTCTCCTGTCTAATGCAGTTTTCCATGACTGCATTCACTGTCTCCTGTCTAATGCAGGCAATTAACGACAGAGCAGGTCCCAACGCGAGCAATTTTGCACTGTTTGACCATATGATGGGACTGTGGCTAGATAAAATGATGGATCACAGCGGCAAAGTGCTTCACAAAGCTGTGGCCGAGGGACTAGGAAAGGGCATAGCAGCCTCGATCAAGGCCAAACTTAAGCCTGCCATGCAGTGCCGCTGATGTGCGGGAGGCCGTGCACCACTGGTGACTTTGGACTGCTGTAGCTGCCCAGATGAAGGCCACATGCAGCATCTAGAGGGATGCTGTGATTGTGCTGGAAACTTCACCCAGCCAAGATGAAGATCTCATCCAGGTGAGGTTTATAGGTGCGCCATGTCCTTGCACACAGCCGCCCACACATACACGGCACAAAACTGATATCGAATGCTTTTTACACGAGAGCAGAATGGAAAGACGGATTTTGGTGCTACACTGGCTGTGTTTTTCTTCAATATTTCCATTTGTCTTTCGTCGTTTTTCATTGTATCACTAGGAGTACTTTCCTGGTTGTTCTTCATTTATGACTGGCTGGCTACTATCTCTCGTGCCGAAAGGTGTATTTTCTTTGCGTGATGTGTCCAAATAGCTGATTGTTCTTGACTTTGGACATCACAATGCTTGCACGTATTTTGACTTTTTTTAATGCTTTCGTCTGTTGATTGCCAGGTTGTACCTTTCTCGTGTTCCCAGCCTGGGACATTGCAAAGAACATAATCATTGGCTTATACCCGGGTCTGCTTTGTTCAGAACTTGAAAGCACTTTTTTATTTCCTATAACTTGATTTCCTCTTCACTGCTTTCTCCGGTCAATTATCAGCTGGTGTTGTGTCTTTGCAAGATGCTGGACACTTTGCTCTGCACTCCGTAGCAATTTATGTTGTAAATAATTGCATTTCAAATTATTAGCCGAGGTTATTGTTCTTCAAGGTTTGGTTTTGCTCTCGGTCTTTTTCAACGGATTCTTGCTTGCCACTTCTATCCGCCTTTGCTTTCCGATCTTAGCCACTTTTGGTTTTTTCTCTAGAAGAGCAGATAGGATTTAGCCGATGACAGGCTTAGGTATTTTTATTACTATAATTATAATTATCGTCGCAACATCTTTGGTATAATTATTTCATTTGTCAAGCTTTTCGAATTGAACCATGGGAGTCATGTCCTCTGTGCAGGGTCTATCCGAGGGCTGCCGGTGCACACATGTACATTTTGAAGAGTACGTAACCCTTGATCATCATGATACAGTGTACATGTAGGCCTTTGGGTGGTATGACGTTGCCTGCGGCGAGCGGTTAGTGCCAGAACTGGTGGAAGACCATGCATGGTTTGGGTGGCTGCCGACTGTGTGCAGTCACTATTGTCATAATCATGATTGTCAGTTTTTTTCCGGGGTTACGCAGGGCCTCTTTTACTGGCAAGATAAAGCCATGATTGTCATAATCATGTCAGTAATTCCGTGCTTACATGTACGTGTACAATGACGTCATTTCCACTCATGTACCAGTTGAATACAGCAGTAGATGCAAGGAACGATCCCCAGACAATTCTACGAACTCCTTTCTAATTACATTGTACGTGTACGTGTACAATGACGTCATTTCCACTCATGTACCAGTTGAATACAGCAGTAGATGCAGGGAACGATTCCCAGACAATTCTACGGAACTCCTTTCTAATTACATTGTACGTGTACGTGTACAATGACGTCATTTCCACTCATGTACCAGTTGAATACAGCAGTAGATGCAAGGAACGATTCCCAGACAATTCTACGAAACTCCTTTCTAATTACATTGTCATGTACATGTACAGTCAAACCTCTTTAGGGCGAACACCAAGGGACCGACGGGATTTGTTCGCAATAACGGGAGTTCTTCTTATCCATATCTTATACCCAGTGAATACACCATGATTTATCCAATAGATAGATGTATACTAGTTCTTCTTAAGCGAAAGTTTGTTTTATCAGTGTTCTTTAACGAGGTTTCACTGTACATCTACATGTATGTACATGTACATGGAATTCTTTAGGTGGCCGCCCTCATACTCAGGGAGGGTACTAGTACGCTTTCCAACCGCCAAAGAGAGTGGAAAGCTTGTGTCTTTGGGGGTAACTTGTGGTAACTTGAACATTTGGTAGCTTGGGCTCATGCAAAATCGCACCGATTTTGGGATTTTCCCGCAACTTTTTGCTTCAGCAAAAATGTTCTGCTTGACCGCATTCCTTTCACTTCGCAGTGGCTTTTCGTTGGTGCAGTTTGTACTTCGCCATTGCCGAGCCACCGTGCTCACAGCAGAGCCTTCTCTGTGTGTGTTATTCCCGGTTGTGAAAGTGGACCACAAAGACTGGTGAAAAGTCCTATACAATCATGTACTGACAGTCTGTAGTACACAGACTCAGTACACGCACACCTGCACAGTAAATCCAGAACAGCCCACACAGACTGCAGACTCGATAATAATAATATTGTGGTCTACATGAACATCCTCGTCACGTCAGTGTGTCGATCACCATGGTCACGCTGTACTGCATGATACTAGTAGTCGATGTCTCATGAGCTCAGTGTCCGTTTTTCTGCTAAAAGTGCTCTTTGGGTTTCGGCCCTTGGGTCGGGGGGAAGTTGGGAGCATGCACTGCAGGTTAGTTGGGGTCCATAAATCAAGCTGTGTGTACCTGACATCATTATGGAACCTTCAGATCAGATAAACCTTTGTAAACCCAACTCTGGGTGTTAGTAGAGTCCCAAGAGGGAGACAGAAAAAGGAAAATATGTCGGAGTATATGTACATGACTGTATTCTGGTGAACGCACGGAAGTACTCCTGTCACGTGTGCTGTCACGTGTGCGGCGTGCAGCAGGAGTCTACATGGACATGTACACAGTCATGGTTAGCATTTTGTCGTTCGCGCCAAATCCAACGGTACTCGTACCCAGCACCCACAATACCGTCGCTTTGGTATCGTTTCGACAATAGAAAGCTCTGTTTAGCGGGAGAACGAAACGGTAAGATTCCAACATTGTAGGGTAACATTACAAGTCGATATCGTTATGTGAGAAACCGAAATGCCAACCATGTCTTGAACTGAAAACACACAAACTGTAATAGTTTTACCTTGACACTTCTTGCTTGTCTTATGGTAACACCTTGTGTTCCTACTATTCTCACTCCTGCGGTTCTCACCTTTCTTTTGCTTTATAACCTCTGGTTTGAACATCATTCGACGAATTCTCCAATCAATCAAGTCTATACTGTTACACTGGTAGCTTGAGGATGGTTGAGATCATCGTTTGCCCTTTGACGTGCCTTGTGCTCCTGGCCGCTACTGCTCTGCTATACGCCGCTTTCCGTGAGATCCGCCGCGCTCGGGACAACGTGGCTGCTACAGTTGGACGACATCAATTACCTGCTACATCAAGCTCAAGTCCTCCGGATCTAGCCCCGTGTCGATCGCGTTCTCTCTCCCAGACAAGCCCGAGCGTCAAACGCGTTACCAGAGAACCGAATGTTTTCCATGGCAACCCTTCCGAGTTCAAAGAATGGGTATTTACGGTCGAGTTAGCCTTGAAGTGCTCACCTCAAGGTGACCCGGAGAGCCAAGTTAACTTTGCGGCTAGCTACCTCGCTGGGAATGCGCGTCTTTGGCTAATTTCTTCCCTGGAAGCAGGTGAGCAATTTTCGGATTGGCATTCTTTGAAAAGCGCCCTAGCGCGAGTGTATGGCCCGCACTATGATGGGGAAAGAGTGCGGTTGGATATGTTCTCTATCCAACAGCGTGGGTCAATTGAATCGTACGTAACGGAGTTTTCTCGGCTAAGTTTACAGGTGCCGGAACTTGACGAACTCTCCAGAGCCTTGCTATTTGTCAACGGCCTGCACGGTAACATGCGGACCTTGGTAGTGAAGGAACACCCCACTACACTGTCAGCCGCCGTTCAGTCAGCGCTAGCAGTCGCCTCAGACAGCCGATTTCAGCGCAGACCACCACTGGCGACCGCGCCGGGATTCGCACCACCATCAGGTAGCAAAAAGCTAACAAAACTAAGCCCCGAGGAACGTGAGACATTACGAGCCCAGGGGGGCTGCTTCGCATGTCGTCGACCAGGCCATATGGCCCAGAATTGCCCGCAGCATCGAGATCACCCAAACGGTGGACGTCAGTAAGGCCGATGCGATTACTGACGCAGCAAGAAAAGGCATCACCTGCGTGTAGTGTGTGCTCCGTCTCTACCCGTAACCGATTCAGTAGCCTCGCTGTGGAGGATGTTGACGATGATGCTGAATGCTCCGAAGCCAATTTCAAGCGAGATGTTACACCAACTATTGAGGCCCAGGTTACCAGCGTCAATGTGGAAACGGAACATGAGCTCCTGGGTGTAGAAGGCAAAATCAACGGTCGTCGCGCGCTTATGTTAATAGATTCGGGCTCGACCCATGATTTCATTGCCGAACAGTTTGCCAGGAGAGTTAACCTGCCAACCGAAATTGGCTCGGAAAACCTGAATGTCACGCTGGCTGATGGAGCATCAAGCTCGTTTCCCATGGAGACGACCCATGAATTGAAGGTTATCGTAGGCGACTTCAGCGATAACCAAACCTTCACGGTGTTCCCCCTTCATCGCTATGACGCTATATTGGGGAAACCTTGGTTAACGCGTAACAATCCAGACATAAACTTCCGGACGAATGAAGTCAGGTTGAACTCGAATGGTTTGCCTTGTGCGTCGCCCAGTCAAAGCGAACCGACCGCTCCTGTGGAGGCGATGTTCATATCTGGTCGTCAGGCTAGGCATGCCCTTAGGAGTGGAGACGAAGGTGTTCTGGCGTGGGTCAGCGTAGAAGACGGCATTGGCAAGGAACCTCCCGACAAATCCACTCAGAACGAGCACCCAGATCTCAAGGCCATGTTCCGTGACTATGACGATCTTTTCCCGGATGATCTGCCAGCTAGACTCCCACCAGAGAGGTCTGTAGACCACGAAATCCGCCTGGAGGAAGGCTCATCACCCCCATCGCGACCTGCCTATCGCCTGCCCAGGCCAGAAATGGAGGAATTGAAGAAACAGCTCACAGAACTCTTGAAAAAGGGTTTCGTAGAACCAAGTAAGTCCCCCTTTGGTGCACCGGTGTTTTTTGTCAAGAAAGCTGATGGTTCGTTACGCATGGTCTGCGATTGGAGGGAGCTAAACAAGATAACTGTTAAGAACAAGGCGTGCTTGCCCAATGTGGATGATTTATTCGATACCGTACAGGGCGCTAGGTACTTCACGAAACTAGACCTCCGATCAGGGTATAATCAGATTCGCATTCAAGCTGAGGACGTACCCAAAACCGCGATTAACACTCCCTTTGGGCATTACCAATTTAGGGTCATGGAATTTGGTCTCACCAATGCACCGGCAACATTTCAATCCATGATGAATACGATTCTTCAACCATATCTGAGGGAGTTCGTAGTCGTGTTCCTAGATGACATACTCATCTTCAGCAAAACGTGGTCGGAGCATATGCAGCATGTCCGGTCGGTATTGAGCGTGCTCCGGGACAACCAGTTATTTTGCAAACGGTCAAAATGTGAATTTGGCGTGGAGAGTGTGCGGTTCCTGGGACATTGCATCGATGGACTGCACATCGCCCCTGACCCAGACAAGATTGCCGCAGTAAAGGTCTGGCCCGCTCCGACTTCCGTCACAGAGGTGAGGCAATTTCTTGGATTTACGAATTATTTTAGGCGATTCATAGATCAATACTCATCGCTCTCTAAGAACTTAGAGGAGATAACGGGAAAACATGCACGATTCGAGTGGAACAGCTCTCGGCAACATGCCTTTGAATCGCTAAAGCATGCCTTGTTGAATGCGCCCCTATTGCGGCTGGCTGATGTGAACCGACCATTCAGAGTGGTAACAGATGCAAGCGATTTCGCCTTGGGATGTGTTCTTCTCCAAGAACTAGAGGAAGATGCCTGGCATCCAGTGGCTTATGCTAGCCGAAAATTGTCTGCTGCGGAACAGAATTATACAGCTACAGAAAGAGAAACATTGGCCGTAGTGTTTGCGCTAAAGACCTGGCGCATCTACCTCTTTCAACACTTTGAGGTCATTACAGACAACATGGCGGTAGTTTATCTGAAAACAAAACCAAGCA